GACTTGCTCCACCATAGCCGGGGCTCGCTCGACAATATGTCCGTACACAGAATCCGTGAGAGCTTCTCCGAGCGAAGTCGGCGGAGCCACCCCGGCTGCCAGCCGCCCGGTTCGAACAAGCGGCGGATTGTCGTCGTTGTTTTCGAACAATAGGATAGGGGCTTTCTTCTTGATCAAGAATCTGGATACAGGAACTGAGTTCATTGTCAACGAGTACGACCAGGACGGGTGCTGGAACCGGTTCAGTGATCTCCAGACAGGGAAGCAATTGAACATGGACGAGTTTGAGAAATGCGTTGGATACTCTCCTGTGGTGAAAGAGGTGATGAGAAGACAAAACGTTTCGAGCGAAGGCGGGGGAGATAGAAAGGTAGGTAACGCAAATTCGTTTGTTTCAAAGAGCCTGAGAATGAGCAAGAGAAGAGGGGTTGCGATGTTGAAGAACAGCATAAAAGGGATGGGATCCGCCGTGAGTGTGTTAATTGGGGAGAAAGACAGGGAAGCGGCTACGCCAACGCCAACGCCGCCACCGACACCGCCGGACCCCAAGTCCGGGAAGAACACGACGTCGTCTTCGTCGGAATGGATAAAAGTTAGGCACACCGGGAAGCATTACAAGGAGCTATCGGCATTGCATTTGTGTCAAGAAATTCAGGCTCATGAGGGGTCAATTTGGACTATTAAATTTAGTTTGGACGCGAGGTTTCTTGCGAGCGCGGGAGAGGATCGGATTATTCATGTGTGGGAAGTTCAGGAGTGTGAGATTATGTCGTTGGATGGAAATTCAACCCCACTTCATCAATCGTTTGGCTCCTCCACTCCTGATCGATCTCCGTCGATTTCTGATCAGGCTGCACTTGTGCCCTTTGAGAAGAAGAAGAAGGGAAAGGGAAGCTCTGCTAGAAAAACCAATCCCATCCCGGAGTATGTACATGTGCCCGAAACTGTGTTCTCATTTTCGGAGAAACCTGTTTGCTCTTTTGAAGGTCATTTGGATGCTGTTCTGGACTTGTCATGGTCCAGAAATCAGGTAAGTTCTTTGTTAATTGTTCTGTTTCTTAAATTAAAGCTCGAGTTCAGCTGTCTGTTAGTTTGGCCTTATGATAAATTCAGTTTTGATAGAAGTAGGAGTTAAGGCTAATTTAATTTGGTATGACTAGGAGACAGGCTGATATAATTTGATCAATTTGCAGCTACTGCTTTCATCTTCAATGGACAAAACTGTTAGGTTATGGGATTTGGAGACCAAGACTTGTTTAAAGTTGTTTGCCCACAATGATTATGGTAAGATATCCATGCATAAATAAGCCAATGTTTGTTTAGCTGTTGTGCATATTATGTTCTTGAGTTTTGACTTGGTTTCTGGTCTGGCAGTGACTTGCATACAGTTCAATCCTTTGGATGACAATTATTTTATTAGCGGCTCACTTGATGCAAAGATTCGATTGTGGAATATACCGGTTCGGCAAGTCGTGGACTGGACTGATCTTCATGAAATGGTCACTGCTTCTTCCTTCACTCCAGATGGCCTGGTACAGCTCCTTTGTATATTGCTTTTACCACAATGTTATGGTTTTATGAACTCTTTAACATGCTTATGGTTTTCAGAAGAAAAGAAAAAACTTTCACTTGTCAAGTCAACTTAGAAAAATTCATAATGATTTGGACTGATCTTGCTTTCACCTTTTCATAAATGTAGGCTTGCCTCATTGGTTCCCACAAAGGAAACTGTCGCATGTACAGCACAGAAGGTGTGAGTTTGGTCTTCTGGTTTATTTTTCATACACATTGCATAATTTTGGTTATAAACCCCTGCATAAAATCTTACTCTAGTTATAAAATTATTCAGATAAACAGTCTTTGATAAAGCTCATCTTGTTTGGTATTCCAGATTGTAAATTAAGTCAGCATAGCCAGATTGATATTCAAAACAAGAAGAAAAATCAAGCAAAGAAAATTACAGGTTTCCAGGTAATGTAATAGCCCACTCTCTAATCGAAGATAAATCCATCTGAACTGCTTCTTACTCGGCCCTTCTTTTTCATTAAAACAGTTTTCGCCAATGAATCCATCTGAAATGCTTGTCACCTCTGCCGATTCCCGTATTCGAATTGTGGATGGTACAAATATGACTCACAAGTTTAGAGGTATGCATCTCCTCCAATCGTCAGAACCTTTCAATTCCTGTTTACATATCTTCTGGTCAATAATGCCTTATATGCAATTTGACTACAAACAGGTTTCCGAAATACTAGCAGCCAAATTGGAGCTTCATTCAGTCCAAATGGGAAGTATGTCATATGCGCCAGTGAAGATTCTCATGTATATGTTTGGAAGCGAGAAGAGCCACGAACCTCGGGGGCCGGAAAAAAAAGTATCATCAGTTCAAATTCTCATGAACATTTCCAGTGTAAAGATGTCTCAGTAGCAATCCCATGGCCCGGCACCATAAAAGGCGACCCTCCCCCAGTTCCTGTGCAGCATTCTAAGAGGCACTCAAAACGCTCCACACAACAACAACAACAACAACCCCCTTCAGGAAATGCATCTCCTACTCAAGAAGACGCAGCAGGCTTGAGCAAGAGACTTCTGCCGCCTCTTCCTAAGAAAAACAACACCAACAACAAGGGAGATGCATTGGATCAAAGACCTGCAACTCCGCCGCCGCTCGAAGATCAAGATCCTGCTCAAATTTCCCGGTCAGAATCAGGGATTGGAGAGTCATTCAATTCAGACCCTTCCTCTATTAGGTATGGTGGTGGTGATTCTTCTATGTCTGTTGGCAGTGCATCCACGTCCTCTTGGTCTTCATCTTGGTCCTGGCTTGACAATATTGGCAACAACAGCAATGCGAACCAAACAACGCAAGCAACAGCTTGGGGCTTGGTCATTGTCACAGCCACTCTAGAAGGTGAGATCAGAGCATATCAAAATTTTGGGCTACCTAGGAAGATGCAGAACAATATCTTTGGAGGCCCTACATAATAGTAATAATTGGTTTTTATGTTGATCACAATTCTATCTTTTACATGGAGACAAATTTTATCTTAGAAACAAACATCACCTGTCATGGATATATACATACATAGATTGTACACTACAAGGAGTCAGAGCCCTGGTTTTTTCTGCTCATCATCAGAAGTTTTTGTAAATCACACCCCATCCATTTCCTTGTAATATATGCCTGTAAAAGCCTATTATTTTTTTTGTATCAGGCAAAAGAGAAGAAGAAGAAGAGAATTTTTGTTGTAAATTCAAAAAATTTGTAAATTACTACCTATTCTAATTTTCTATAGTAGGAAATTCGTCCCGAGTTCGATCCGTGAATTCATTATTCTTTATTAGAGTATAAATTAATCACAATTCATTTAATTGTGTTCGATATGCACCCTTAATTATTTTTTTTCCACATAATGAATGCTTGTATATAGCTGTGATTTTCAAATGCCAGAAACAATAATCACAAGAATTCTAATGTTAGTTTTGGTTAATCAACTGTCAAGCCCCAATTCTGTTATATTAAACCAGAAAGTGGGTTCAAGCACGCATGTGGGACCCTCGGTTGAGCTCGAGGTTATATAAGACAAAGGGTGGTTCGACTTGCTTTGAACTCCAAATCGCGCGCGAAACATGGCAGAGAGGAAGAGAGCCAAAACTACTTCAACTTGCAGCCCTCTGGCCACCGTTGAAGAGATTCAGAGACGCCTCGTTCGACCTTCCTCTACCTCCATCTCTCCGCCACCGACCTCAACATTCTCATTGCCGTACGCACACACACTCTCTCTCTCTCTCTCTCTCTCTACGCACACACCGCTTCGAAATTCTTCAGTAATTTCTATTTCAATCGTTGACTCCAGAGTTTCTTGCAGGGACGATTTTCAAAGCTGCCACATGGCCCCTGACTCTTCGCAATTCAATTTGAGAACGACGACGAAGAAGCTCGAAGATTACTTGGATTCGGTCCTGCTCTCTCAGATCTCTTCCAAGCTGAGTCGCGCGAAGAAGGTTCCAGAGACTAAGTTGCAGGAGAGAGAGGTGAAGGATTTTGAGTGGTCGATCGACGAATTGAAGGTGTTAGCTAATTCGGACAAGGATGATGTGAATCTCAAGGAAGATTTGGATCTGATTGAGGAATTTGGGGACCGCGATGTTGAATCTTGCACTCCGTTTCGGCGTTTCGAGCAAATTACCGCGCGGCGTTTCAAAGGGTGAGGATCGCAAACGATGGAGTGTTCGAAATTTCAAATAGTTTGTTAGAGAATCGCATGCAAGGTGATGACACGCGTACTTTGTGTAGAGAATGGAAACGGCTACTCTGTTTTTCTCTTTCGTTTTAAAAATGAATATTTTGAGTGAAGATTAGGAAAGGCTATGATAATTCAAAATTGTACTCCTTTAGTCCTCTAAAATTCTATGGGAATTAATTACTTTTTTTATCCACCTCCATATTTTTAATTCTATATTTTTAAGAAGATGTCAAGTTAAAGAAAGCATGATAAATTTAGTCTTTAAGTTAGTCCAGGTGGTAAGGTAGAATGAGATAATGAGTTAAAATTATGATAGGTATATGAGATGAAATAGAAGAGAAATGAGTTTACGGACAAAGAGATTCAAAATCGGATGCAAAATACTCTGAACACCCACTAAATAGAAAGCATGTATAGAAGCATATGAGCTATGTGAGTTGTTCACTCAAAAACTCATAAAAATAAATTTACTCCAAGCACCCCTAGACTGTGGGGAATAGTTTTATAAGTATGAATAAATTATCCCAATTCTATTAGTGGGAGAGACCATGATCTGATTTTTATTTTTTTAGGGTGTGGGTTTATAAGGTCTCTTAATAGAAGAAAAAGAAAATTGTGGCGTGGGGTCCAAAAACAACAATGGTCTTCTCCCTTAAGGCAGTGGACCAGGGTATTAATTGGGCCATGTAGTTGGGCCTTAACCCAGCCTTGTCTTCCTCCCCAAAATTGAATTATTGGTACTCGCGCGCCAGATCAAAATCCAAGCTCCTCCACTCTCCCATGGCCTCGCCCAACCTCTACCCCATCGTCGACGACAAGGACCTAGACGACGCCGCTTTGTGGGCAGTCATCGACTCCGCCGCCGCCTCACACTCCTCCTCCAAGTACAAGCCCCAATCCCGCAAGCCCCTCGCAATCAAATACCCAAATTACCCTTCGCCTCCACCGAAGCTCTTCAAGACCCCGCGGCTCCCCTTCTCCGACGACTCAGGCTCAAAGTCGTCGTCGACGGAGGGCGAGGTCGCGAGGTCGTCGAGGACCCCTCGGCTTTCCATCCGCCGAGGAAAATCGCCAGAACCTCTTCTTCTGGAGTAAACGACACCAGTCCTCTTGTCGTAGTCCGAAATGTACAGCGAACGACGCCGACCACCCCTACGACGCCGTTTTACTCGTCCCCGGAGACGCACGTGTCGCCTGGCATCTGGAATTATGCTAGCCCTGTGAGCTATGCCCAGAGAGATGAGAGGGATAATAGCTCTGGCTCTGTGCATAGCTTGACCGGGAGGTTCCCTTCAGTTTCTTTGTTCAAGGAGTATCAGAATGCGGCAATGGCGGTAAGTGTTCTTATATGATTGAGTTTTCAGTTCAATTGAATTTCACTTTCTTAAAGTTTGTTAATTTGTTATATGATTATTAAGTCAAGAAATTTGGGAAATATTAAATCAGTAGTTAGTTCCGTTGACCTAATTAGTTGCTATGTTTGTGCGATCTCAATTGATAGATTTTGGAGAAAACAGATTACACTATGATTTCTGGGCATCCGTTCATCAAAAAGTCAGGTAAAGAAGGTTATGGAGATGTTCTTTGTTTCGAGGTAGAATGCTGGGAGTGAGTAACATGCGGTGTGTGTTGTGTAGGTTGGAGGAAGATATCATTTTACTTCAATCTCTCCTTTGAGATCAAAGACAAGACCATTGAGTTTGATGAGAACCGGAATGTTCTGCGCGCTGAATTTGTGGTTCGGGCACATATGCAGTATGAATTCTGGATTTTGGGAACTTATGCTATAGTAATGTAATTTCTAATCATATGTCACACTCTGTTATGAATATGGTTGCTGTTTTGCTGTTTTGCTGTTTTGCTGTTTTGCTGTTTTGCCCCCTTCCCCTTGTCACTAGGGGAGGGAGGTTCTCAGATGGATGGGGCGCGTGTGACCGGCGTGAGAAGAAATTCAATAAGCCAAATCATGATATTCCGAGTACCGCAGAGACCAGGGCCAAAAGCAAAGCATCCCAGGTAAAACTGTCTCTTCCTTCTTCTCTATATTCCTTTGTCACATTTTGGCTGCTTCATTTACATGTCCCTGCTATACATTGTATGCTTTGTTCAAGTAGAGCTTAGCCTAACTTGATGGTCATCTCATCTATGAAGTAGCTCCTATCACCTTACCACATTTAGATCCTTATCGTATTGAAATGAATGTTAGCAGTTCAGTTCCATTCTTTGTCTTTTCTTGTTAATCTGACTGTGAACTTTAGGACAAGATAGAAAAAGCTATCAACCCCAATCACTTTAAAGTGTACCTAACTATTGCCCAAATTTGTTGATTGTCATTGGTTTTATCCCCAAGTTCCATGATTTATAGTCTAGAACACAGAACTAATAGTTTTTCTGAACCCCACAAGGTTGGTCTCCAAGTGTCTACTTTATGAGTTTGACAACCTTGCCAAAGTGTGCGACTTAATTTGTGCTTTCATAGAATTGGTTCTCATATTCTCTTGAAGCTTGCTTTCCATCGCAGGCAAATGCTTTACAGTGTACACAGAGTGAGGATATGATTTTCTTTTTGTTTTGAATTGATAAATGGTGAGGATAAAACTAGAGCTTTCATTGGGAAGATCACCAAATACACAAATTTTTTTGTCGGGTTTGGAGTAGAGTTCAAGACACATACCATCATCATCAGTATGAGATAATATAGTTTAAAATGTCAGAACCATGCATGTGCTATCTGTTTACGTGCTTATATCACAGGCTTTGTTTGCTGACCCCATACATCAAAAAGCTTGATAATTTGAATAAATTATCTTAGGGTAAGGGTAGGATCTCTTGCCTAATTGATTTTAAACCCATGTTCTTTTCTCTTTGCTCCTTATGCTAATGAACAATCAGAGAAATTATCCATTCTTACTTTTCCCAATAAAATGTACCTTCACATTTGCAGGACCTGCTAGGAATTGGAGAGTACCGACCAGGTGCAAGCCAATTCCACCATTAACCATCATCAACAAGTTAGTTTTATGGTATATTCTCGGAATTACATATCGAAGCTCTTGTTGTCTTTTACCATTTAACCAAAGCTTTAGAGAGCAGTAGAATCCAAGTGATTCGTGCATCTTCTCAAGAGATTTGTTGTGGCCACAATGTCCTTCAAACTAGAAACTCATCCAGGGACAAGAACAGTGTTCAGGTCCTATCTTCCGCCACGGCGGGCACCGATGCAAATCATGCAACTGTAGTTAGATTTTACTGTATACTGATGTTTGTGATATTCATAAGACAGACGAAAGAATGAATGTAAGGTGCTGTTGGAAAATTATAAAAGAAGTTCTGTTCATACTATATTTTTTGAAAATAATTTTCATGAGAAAAAGAAGCGTACAATAATTTATTTAACTGGCATGTAGAAGACGCTGCAGCAGCTTGGACTGGACTGAACTGAACAGAGCTTGTGACTGATTTGTGTGGACCAAAAAGAAAAAGCGTCCTCAAAAGACAGGATGAAACAGTTGATATGCTGCACCAAAAAAGAGTCCTTGATCACTGATATCTTCTTCTCTCCTCATGGTTAATATAACAACTCAATCTGTGAGGCCAATCGATCCACCGCCTTTAACTCCCTTTTTCTTTCTTTGTTTTCCCTTCAAATCTGTAGGGAGTGAACCTATTTATTTCAAAATAGTAAAGCACATCAATTGATTTTACCTTTTGTGACAAAAAGCATGCTCATATAATAACACTAAATACAAATGCATGTATTTCTTCTATTACTTCCTAATTCTTGAGCAGAGTTAAAGTTTAGGTTCAAGCATTTTAATCTATAAAACATTGGCTTCCCTCCCATAAAAAGCAAAAACTATACACATTAGCCAAAATCTTTTGGGTTTGAAATCTCCTATTTAGCTAAACTTGCTAACAATCCAAATCCGTTGATTTACTCAATAGAAAAATAAATACATTATACTACATTGCATATAGCCATTTCAAATACATTGTATTTAGTATTTTTTTTATTATAGAAAAGTTCTTCTAATCAATGTAAATTCATACCTTTACGATTGTCTATACTATATCTATTTAGGGTAACATTAGATGTGCAAAAAGTTTTAGGCTCCTAAATTATCTTATAAATCAACATGATGCTTGTGATGCATGTGTAACAGAAATATCTAGCTGAAACGAAAACCTTTTTTTAGTAGACTGTCTGAACAAGAGAGCCATGAAATGGACGAAACACTTAAAGATGGAGGCTAAAATGGTCATTTGGAAAATAAAATAAAATAAAGAGGTCTTCTTTTTAATCTGTCCCTTGGTGTTGTGTTTTTGTTTCCTTTTCTCTGACTCTCGTACAAAAATTGTTCTCTCTCTCTCTCTCTCACCTCTTTTCTGTCTGCCAAAAACCAGTCTATGCTTTCACTAAACTGTAAGACGTCACTTTCACACTGCCTCTCCATCTCCATCTCAGATTCTCAATATGTGTGTCAAAGTGTCACGCTGTGATTTGTTTTCTTGTCTTGTTTAATTAAGTTCTCAATCAATTCATCTTTGCTTTATTTTCAGAAATTAGAACAGAGCATGTTGATGGATTGGAAATGACAGTTGTTTTGTTTCTGCGAAGTGACAACCACCCAGCTTTCTACATACTAGGGAGGAAGAAGAGAATAATGGCTCATCAGGTAGGTGCACTTCTCTTCTCTCTTTTCTTTTTCTGTTTTTGGCTTTTAATCTCAGAAAGCCATTCATTTGGATGGAGAATAATGTGTGAAGCTCTGTTTTGAGTGAAGTGGAAAATGCCTATGGTTTTGAATGTAGGATGAAGGGTGGCCTTTGGGATTGCGACCACTGAATGCAAGAGTTGGGTTGATCAGAAGCCGGGATTTCTCTGCTGGGTCGGTTTCATTCAGCACTTTGGTCAGTGGCTCCCCCAACCCCTCCATTGCCGCTTCTTCTTCTTCTTCTTCCTCAGATCTTGATACAGAGGTCAGTATTTTTCTGTATTAAAAATATATTGGAATGGCATTGCCAAATATATTTTCACAAATAAAAAGAAACCCATCATCATCATGCCACTCTATATTCTACTTCCATTCCATATACCACCATGCTTGTTGGGTCATCATCATCCTCAATGATTTCTCTGACGTCTCTGTTTCGTCTTTTTCAAGAAAGATGTCTCTGTTTTCAATCTGTTAATTTTAGAAATGGAATCACACCAGCGTACCTTCCATTGATTTTATTTTATTTTTGGCACTTAAAACCCCTTGGTAATCGGCATGTTACTGTTCAAATAGTCTTTCATGTAAATCAAGAAAGTTCTGATCTTAGTGATTCTTTCATGAAACTTGTTTCAGTCAACTGGGTCTTTCTTCCATGACAAGAGCATCACTCTAGGGAGGCTCCTTGGTGTTTCTGGCATTATAGGCCTCTCACGAAGATCAACAAGGAGAAGGGCACTTGAAACCTCCAAAGGAAAAAAGAACCACAAATCCAAACCTTGGTTGTTTTCACTCTGCTCCAAGCTAACCAGCGACTCTGTGAATGAGAGTAATAACACTCCATCCTTAGCTCACTTTCTTGAAGCAGAAAGGAGAGCAAGTAATAACAACATTAACAGAAGAAATCACGGTGGACCGATTGAATACGGAACTGACAATTTCTCACCGGCTGTGCCGGTTTCAGACCCCAACAGGCTATTCGTAGACGGCCTAGTAGCAGCTGGTCAGCCAAGTTCTTCAGAGAGAGCGGATGGTGGAGCAAGATCCAACAACAGGGAGCTATTAGAATATGGCAATGGATTTGGAACGACATTAGTGTCTTCATGTTTGTGTGGACAACTCGTGAAATGATTGACCCCTCATTGGAATTTATATTTAGTGAGCTCTGGATTCCTATTAAAAATTCAGCTTGATTCGTCCAAAAAAAAAATTTAGCTTGCAAATCGTTTCAAGAGAAGAGTGTCAGGCTAGTGGTATGTAACTCATTAATGGAGCCTAAGGGCAGTAGGTTTTTTTATACAACTTTGCCTTTGGAGTTTTAAGTCATGTCAGTTAATATAGTCTTTTGAGGTCAACTATATTATTAAAATCTCAAATTATTCTTTAACTAGACAAATTATTCTTAATTACTAAATGCTGCACAATTCCACATTCGTGGTAATCGTATGCCAGTTTCAAACTTTCACATGCTCTTAGATTAAGGACAGATCCAAGGGGTAACTAAGTTCTATATGCAACCTGGAAATTGCAGCTTAAACCCATGGAAAAGCCTATTTTCACATAAGAACTCTTTGCAGATGCAGAGACATGTCAAAAGGGCTCTGTTGATTCATCGGCACAGATGGCTTAGATCCAAAAACACAGTACCATGGTAGGCGAGAGAACAAAAGAACCCACTATCTCCTTCCATGACAAGGGACGGGATGGCAATTGAAGTTTTATTTATTTGAAATATAATTATATTTATAATTGGGGAGAAACCCTTAATGTTTTGCTGCTTCTTTAATTTAAAGAAAAACAGACTCAACATGACTCAAAGAAACAAAACCTTCAGATCCAGGGTACTGAAGGACATCTATATTCTCATGCGTGATTAGGCATTTAAGACCCTCCAGATGAATCGGAAAACATACCAGTGAGGATCACTCTCCCTAAGTAAATCCAAGACAGCTTAGCTCCTCCATCTGCTGGACTACCAACTGGTTCAAAGAGAACAAGTCCACAACTTCACTTGTCAAGGCTTATGGATCTCCTCATTGGTTTCAGCAGCTATCTTTCCTGAGCTACGACCGCCCATCCTTCCAAATGAGCTCATAGGAGACAACCCCTTGAAGCTACTGCTACCTTCACTGACATTAGACTTTCTTGATCTCCTCGGCTTTGATGGACTCATTTCCAGCTCCACATCATTATTGGCCTTGATATTGGCCACAACCAGTTGGGTAATGGTGGTTCGGCAAAAGGGGCAAACTGGGACTGTAGGACAAGTAGTTGAAGGATCGGGCTTCTTGTGGCAGCATAGGGCAAGGGTACAATGTGCACACATTTGATGACCGCATGGTCCGACCTCAATTGTGCATAACTGGTCAAAGCATATGCAGCATAGATCCACATCACTAGCCTGTTTGATATGAATTCACCAGTGAATAAGAAAGCTACATGCATTGCCCAAGAATTGAGTTCTACTAAAGATTTCATTGAATCTGTGCACAGAGGCACTATTATACTAGAAAAAGACATAAGATCATCACAACCAACAAATTCGTCATATGAATGTGTTTGGCATAAAATGGAAAAAAGTGCTCTGCTCATCATAAGTTCTTTTCAAGAGTCATATACATGCAATCCTGAAATGCTGTCAATAATTCCGAGATAAATAAATAGATTTTAAATCCTTTCTATTGACCAATCACAACAAATATGAAAAACTAAACAAGAAGAGAAGGCACATTTACCTCAGAGGCATTATCATCAGTCTCTGCATCTGAATGCAAAGGAGATGGAAGTGAGTTTACTGCATCCTTCAAGATAGCTTTCTCTCTCTCCATGTTTGCTTCTGTTAACGCCCTTTCTAACAAAGCCTTAGCCTCTGGATTAAGCTCACTGATGAACTTCAAAGGTGATGGCCAAACAAGAGGCTCCGCTGATGAAGGGTTCAGTACAGCTGCGCAAGCTCGATGCTTGCGCCTCAGAGCAACTGTGTATGGTATTCTCCTGCAGAGAACAATTTTATAATATCATGACAACATACCAACAAACTATTGAGTCCTACTTTTACCTAAAGCAGAGCATTTATAACTTAAGGATGGAAGACTTGTGGAATTAGAGGCTCCATTCATTTTGTGATGCCAATGATTTTGCAGTATTTCAACCTACAAAATAGGATAAACTCTAAACACTAATAGTAAGCTCACATTTTTACTGTTGTGCACATAGCTAGCAGTGATAAGGACTTAGGAATAAAAGAAATGAGCCATTCCTAATTAGGAATCTACTTGTTCTTTAAAATGCAACGGTTCGTTAAACTTCATGACAAGCAAATGACACTCATCTTTATTGACTAATATGGACTGCATAGTATTTCAAACATGTCAAGATGCATAATTTATTGTAGAATCAAATATTCACACTATCCATTTAAGGAAGGTTACCCAGAAGCATCTAATTGAAGCCGATCTGCTCCCCAAGCAAGTAACTCTCGGACACAATCTAAAGATCCACCACGTGCAGCTAAGTGAAGCGGTGTGCTTCCAGGGTATCTGCATATATATGGTAGTTGCATCAATCACATTGGCAAATTACTACTATTGAGCTATCATACCAGGTCACAACTATAGATAATTACCCATATCCACCAGTTGAAGCACAAACAAGAGCCCCATTGTCTAAAAGAGCATGAACGCACTCTGGCCTACTTTGGCGGGCTGCTAAATGCAATGGGGTTGCACCACCTGCATCTCTTATGTTGACAAATCTTGAAAATCCCCTGTCAATGCCATCCAACGTAAATTAAACACCAGAGATTTTGACCCCCCAAAAAAAAAACCCCAATCATGAGAGAGAGAGAGAGAGAGAGAGCAACCATGAACTTGCTACAGGGGAGGAATGGGCAGCAGAAAGAATGGCTTGGAGGCAGTCCGCATGACCATAGTAGGCAGCGTAATGCAGGCAGGTTCTTCCATTCAGGGAATCAAACATCAATATCTAACAATTACACACACACAAACCCCATGATCAGCATATTAGTAGTTCAAGTAGAAACTGTACACAAAAGGAAAAGAACATACATTTGCTCCAGCTTGGATAAGCTTTTGGACGCAAGCGATCCTCCCGTTTATTGCAGCCAACATCAACGGGGTCTAAAACCGATCACATAGAAAAACAGTTCAAAACCACATAAAAAGAAATAAAAAGAATCAAAATTCAAAAGCATCCAAAAGAACTGTTCTTGATTGACAAAAAGCATATAAAAAAAATCCCATTACCAGTTTATGTCGATCCACGACATCCGGATTGATAACAGAACGATCCAAAAGCAGAGAAAGAACCTGAACTTATCATCAGACCAAGCACCAAAAACAAATCTCATAATCTAAACTCATCAACACCATTAATAAAAAGAAAGAAAAAAAAAAAAACTAAATCCCAGAAAGAATCCATAAAAAACCAATCAATAAGAAACAAAACCCACCTCGATCTGACCCTCAACAGCAGCTACATGCAGCGCAGACAACCTCGCACGACCTTTCCTCTGCTGAAAAACACTTGGGTCTGCTTCCAGCATAGCCTCAACGAGCTCCAATTCCCCATCCTTGAGAGGTCCAAAGAGTCCACTTTGAGGGGTCTCTCTGCAACTCAGTCCCTGACCCATCTCCCCAAACTCACTCTATCCTTATCGCATTGAAAGGTGGCCTGAGATCACTTCCTCCAGTGCCACCTTCCAACGGCGAAGGATATGGTGGTGGTGGGCAGAGAACCAGCAGTGGCTTAGGCTACAATGAATGTGTTGATGTCCATGGGCAATCTAAGTAGAGGCAGGCACTGGGACTAATGGGCCTCGGAGTTCGGACCTGCCCGCGGAGATTTCGGGCAGCTTCACCGCGCAGCCCCTTGCTCCTTTCTAATGAACAATTTTTAGAGTTCGGGCAGCTGTAAGAAATTTACGGGGTATTTGGATTTTATACGTTTTCTTATCTTCCAATGGCTTTGACATGTATTTGTAGACTAGTTGGTACTTAGTCCTAAATAAGTCTTTGTTTCACACATGATTTTTTTATATAATTAAATTAATCCCCTAAATTAATTTATTTGACTTTAACATGCATTTTTCAACGCGGTTTCTGAATCAGCACCGTTGAATATGAACCCTTCTTTTATCTTATCCGTCCGATCAATTTATTTTCTTCAATAATTTAAATTAAAACTGTTCTACATGTGTATGTCTTTAGTATTTTTATGGTAATATATTATTCTCTTCTGCAGCCGCATTGCGTTTTGGAAAAGCAAGTTTGGTACAAAAATGAATGAGAGCAGGAAAATGAGAAAGCAGACACAAAATACATACATACACTGTACACATAAGTAGTTGAATGATCAACTTTGTTTTTGTTGTTGTTGTTGTTGTTTTGGTTGTTTGCTTTTGTATTGGCGTTGGATGACAACAGCTTTTCTTCTTTTGGACCTCTTCGTGCTTGTTGTGTCCATTCGGGTCGCCAACCCTTTGCTTAGCTTGTTTGCTTTTTATCTTTCCCTGCTTTGGTCAATTATATACAGCTCTGAAAAGACCAACCATGAAATAAGGACATGTATATACATTTTTAAAACTTTTAAACAAAAACCCAGAAAAGAAAAAAAGGAGGGAGGGGGGGAAAAGTTTCATAATTTATGAAATATATTATGTATAGACAGAGAGCTCTCTCTCTGAAGTCTAAACCAAGTGATTGGGGGATTTGCTTTTGGCCGAAAGCCTAAAAGTTGCTTACTGTGGAGGAGGATTTTGGGACATGAGAATTTGTTTGCTATAATTCCAGGACAGATTCGATGTCTACTCGAATATTGTGTTGGCTTAATTTGTACGGCTAGATGCTCAAAAATTTGCACTCTTGTTTTGTCATTGTCCCGCCAATTTGCTTTGTGTTCCCGTCTTTTGAGGTTGGCAAATAATTGGCCTTTTGGGCCTGAAATGGGGCAAGTGATCATTCAGCTCTTGCAAGCCCCATCAGCTTATGACTCTGACGAAATGACGCTGCTCATTCGGTCTAATTTGGCCCAAAGAAATTAAATAAATATGGGATGCTAAAAGGTCTCAAAAGTGACACATTAGGTCAGTTGGCCAGAGATGTGAAGCCGTCTCTTTGAAATAAAGTTTGAGTACTCTTTTCCGTAAATTAAATTAATTTTAAATTGTTTAGACTATCAAACAAGCTAGAGGCAAGCTACTCATTCAATGATGAAGTCAAGCTCCGAAGACCTTAAAGACCCAAAATTAGCAACCATGAATTCTCTTGGACCAGTTGATCCATAGCTATTGGGCTGATGAATAGATCAGACGAACAAAAATTAAAAATACAAAAGCCCAAACGATTGGTTGAATTGAACCCATAAAGCAAAGCCTGACGGATATGGGCCGAGAAGATTTTGGAACCCACGTCGTCGTCCTGAATAAAAAATAGCGATACCCACCCAGTATTTAAGACGCAGGGGCATTAGGGTTTTAGTTTCTCACACACTAGGTGGCCGCGCCTCTCTCAACCGCCAAGATCTAGGGTTTGTTTCGAGCTGAATCGGAGGTACCAATCTGGCTCAAATTTCCCAGTATCACTTACTAAGCATCCTTTTATTGTGTTTGTGTTAGATGGTTTTGTTGAATACTGAAGCTTTTTCGTACAGGAAATGGCTCCTGCTGCGCCCAAGAGCGGGATCTTCGTTGGTCTGAACAAAGGCCACATCGTTACCAAGCGTGAATTGGCTCCTCGCCCGTCTGACCGCAAAGGGGTATGCTTTGTTTGGTCACTGATTGTTCATACAAGTTTTTGATTTCTGGGATTGTCTTTGTATTCTTTTGTTGTTTGGGTCTTGATTTTTTGATGAAATAGTGTGAATAATACTAAAATTTCCATGCTTTGTTGGTTTTGACAATGAAGAAAACAAGCAAGAGGGTGCATTTCGTGAGGAACCTGATCAGGGAAGTTGCTGGTTTTGCTCCATATGAGAAGAGGATCACTGAGCTTTTGAAGGTTGGTAAGGACAAGCGTGCTCTTAAGGTGGCCAAGAGGAAGTTGGGTACCCACAAGAGAGCTAAGAAGAAGAGAGAGGAGATGTCCAACGTCCTCCGCAAGATGAGGTGAGATTTTTCTCTTTGCCCTTGCTGTGTGATTGATATGTTTTCATATGGCTTTTGCATTTTTGTGTTATAGTCAATTTATGAGATTGTTTGTGTTATGGTCAATTTATTTGGTTGTTTTTTTTCTTTTCCGTTTATTTCATAAGTGGTGGAGGACTGGATTGAAGTATTTTTTTGAATATGTTAAGACAAATGTGTGAAAATGGAGTTAAACCAGCTTGCGTAAATGCGCTTGAATGTTATCAAACTCAATGTTACGAATTAGTTTTGGTACCATTGCAATCGATATCAAAATTTGTTTGTAATAGTGTGGTTTTTGGTGTCAACTCTGTTTTTGTGTGCCATGTTTGTAACATTTGAGTTAGTTTGCTCGTCCGGCGAATGGAAGTCTGTTTCTGATTCTTTTTTCAGTTATTTAATTGGACTAACACATTGTATGATGAGAGTAGATAGTTTTTGGGGAGCTCAACCTTTCATTTTCACACTGTCTTTGGTGGTTTGATTATGTTACACGATTTATATGCTTTGTATGTGATTGTGGAATTGTTCATGTGCAGGTCTGGTGGTGTTACTGAGAAGAAGAAGTGAGAACTTGAAGTGTTGTGTTAATGGTTGTAGTTCAGTTACTCTAATAGTTTTTGTTATGCATTTTCGTACGAGAATTTTACGAACTCTCTAATTTTGAATGTTTTGAGACCATTTTGTGATATCGTCTATGCAGCAGATATTCTTGAATTTGTGTTATTCAGCTATTTCTCTTTCAAGTTATTGATTTATTTAGATTTACATATAATTGTGTTACTATACTATGATGGAAGTGAAAGTGTGATAGTCTACTTATGACCCGAAATGCAATTTTGCAAGCAAATCAATTATGTGTGGGAAGTTCTATTTTGTTCAGTTTAAAGTTCGAACTTAAATTAGGGGGAGAAGCCAAATCAAATCACTTTTAGGCGGCACGGCTGCTCCATTCGTGTAGTTTGGCTTCTTAGTAGAAAGTTACATAATCTTTTTAGTATCTCATTTTATTGAACTTTCATCTACACGGTTTTCAAATCTAACGGTCATGCGAAATGAAACACAACTTTATAATTGAAAGCTGAAAGAAACACATTACCTTTCTTTACTTATAATCTCATGAACATGAGGCCATCTTAAGAATTCGAAAGCAAATATAAAGACAGCTCGATGACATCCACCAATCAACATCGAATTGAATCGAAAGAGATATTCAATATTGGTAGGCAGGCACAACAGCGACGGAGGAATCTCTGTGTCTGTCTCAATCATCAGATCAATCCAACTCTATCTTCGTGCTCATCTCTCGGACGTAATTGCAAGCTTGAAGCCGTCCTCCAGTAGCCACCATCATCTGTCAAACTAAATGTTCATTTCTTCTATCGTCTGAGAGTTACGTGCTTGCTTTGCTTTGCATGGAAAATAATTGAAATGCTTGATCCAAAATCGGAGGTGCCTCCAGGATCCATCTGGCGATTGTGATTGTAAGATATCTCTCTCATTTTTCCAAGAGTTGGGGATTGGAGGAGAAGATCGACCAGTCCGCAGGATGGTCGGCAATGCATCATTATCATTATAATGCCATTATGGGCTAAAATATGATGTGGCCGATACAACTTTTTTCTTTTATAATTCTCTTTCCGTCCTTCGTCCTTTTGGGTTGGGCCCAAGGAAACTATGAGAGCAAGAAGAGTATGTAAAAGCTACGGCCCTAGCGGAAAGGAACAAAACAACCCATCTAATCTAAAGCACAAGTTTATAATCACTAAGTAATTTTTGTTGTCAAGAAAACCTGGCAAATTTACCAAGAAAAACATCTAAGCTTCCTTTTGTGTGTGTGTGTGTGAGACAAGGCCATAGCCTAAGCTATTCTAATGTGCAGTTTGGAAAAGAGGGTCGAGCTCGAATGCAAAGGAACGAGCACACTGTCAATCAACATTCAATCCAAACATAAAGTGTGTAGAGTAGTGTTTGATTTCGTTTGATTTGTGATGATCTACTATTCCGCATTATGTGCGGTGAGATGAGTGAAGTCATAGCAAGCAAGCAAGAATATGGATATTGGGGTCCACCTTGTGACATGACAGAGCGTTTTCTCCGCGCCATGCTTGGACCAACATTGATACAAAGAATTTTCCTTTTGCTTTTAGCTTTGTATTATATATGTTGGCTTCCAATCAAATAAAATAACACAATCACTTGCTCAATTAAATTTATATTATTTCTTCTTCATATATTTAAAATTCACAATCAATATCTGAGTGCTTTCTCTCGTAAGCATCCATTCCATGCATATTTGTATATAAAATATAATTAATTATTAATTATTAATTATACAAATGTGTATTTAGTCATGTCAACAAGACAGCATGTATTGTATGCAATGGCAACGCAAATTATAAATTGCTAGCAACCTTGAACCTTCCTACGTACCCCATTATATATAATATTATATGCTTATCCAAGGACAAAATTGTTAGGCATGTACGACAACGCACTTTGCAAAAGGTTAAAGCCTATACAAAATTCAATTATACCTAGTTTATTCCCATTTGCTTTTAATAAGAATAAGAATATAATCAAGAAATTAGTCCATATGCTGTAGAAGAAAGATGACCTGACCATATATATATATATATTGCCATGTTACATTATTATTATTATTATTATTAAGGTCTTGATCCAATCTGATTCTTATATTCTATGTTTGGTAAAGCAAGAATATTAATGCACGCGTTTCATATATAAAAACCCAAATGAATTGTACACTTGATTTGAACTTTCCAACCAAAAAATTCCAAAGGACTTACTTAATAACTATGAATTTGCACCAATATGTCTAACTCAGTGAAAAAGAGTCTTGACTTACAGACAAAAGGTCCCAAGTTCGAACTCTTATTGCATTTTAGTTATGCGTGTGTGTGTGTAAGAAACCGCTATCCCCTTATAGTTTAGACTATCACTTGTACTTAAAAAAAAAAAACTATGAATTTGCATTAGATCATGATCTCCTTTAAACACGTTTTGTATAGCTTTGTTAATTAGCTGCTGCTGGACCAAGTTGGGAATAATTAACTTTACCAAGTGGTTTTGCTAATCCGAAAACAACATATATAAAGTCAATTACGAAACGCATGGCTATTTTGAAATGTTGGGAAAGTGACTTCATAGGATGCTATTCTCACCGAAACAGATATGGTATGTAGGGGACCTTGGGAATTATAATTTATACCCTATATTTGACTACTGTCAGCTACGCTCATTTACTGCCAAATGTTATCTTTAATGTTGTAAAGGGAAGCTCCTCAAAACTACTTGGATTTGATTTCCAGCTTACCTGTTTAACATGGTATAATTGTTAGTTACCACATTAATGTGTATATATTTACGCATTCATGACCATATAGATTCATATAAATTTAATAAAGCAATTATAATTTATGCTACATGCTCAGTCATTCACGCACTCATAAATAATTGTGACCTATTAATTTATGTAGAATATATATGCATCAACAATTCACACATTCCTCTAGGTAGAATACCACAAAGAATCTAAAAGAGGGGTATATTTTTGTATATGCATGTATAATTGAGATCACAACATGTGGGAGAACGTGAGGTCTATATCTCAGAAGAGCTTGGAATCTCAGTCTCTTTCTATGTGTTTCCACCTGTTGATGATGATGAGGATTATATATATCCGTAGAGAGAGAGAGAGAGAGAGAGAGAGAGAGAGAGAGAGAGAGATTATGTGTCATATATAACAAGGACAACATGTTAAAAGTGAAAGCTGCTGCTGCTTCTCTCTATCTTTGTGTGTATAATATGGTCTGTGTGTGTGAGGAAGAGAGAAGAGCGCATGTCACTCTTCACACAAACCCATGTGGCCATCATCAACATGATGAGAATCCATGTTATATGAACTTCGAAAATATTTGGCTTGGATTTCCGAGCCTCCAAAATTCCTTCTCCTGCCCTCTATCTTGTTCGTACAAGTAGAAAAACACTAACAGCTTCATCTTCTTTAATTGGTTGGGGGTTGTGACTTTTAATTTACAGGTACTGCAGATGATGATCAGAAGAAGATGCCAATACTTTTGGGATCCTTCAAATTCCTCTGATTTCCACACACACAACCCAAATTCCAATTAAGCTGACCAAAACCCATGACCATATATTTGAGGGTTTTGATTTTGAATATGCTTTATTCCTTCTTGGCAAGGCCGGCCAGCCTTGGTTCTTGCAAAAAGCAAATCCAAACACCCTACATAGATTCCTTTCTTTCAACACGACCATTCCAACTTGGAATTAATATATTGGTACGTAACAGCTAGGCCTAGGAATATGTAGGAGGAAGTTTCTCAACTATACTGAAAGCGAGATTTGTTATCAATTTGAGGTTTGGTCCAACTATAATATTGTACGTACCTGCAGTCTTTCTTGGTACCCGATTTATACCAAAACATTATAATATATAGCAGCAGCAGATCTTGAGAAATCTTTAGGAGAAACTGTTATTAGAAAGACAACTACAATTATAACTCTAGGCTGGCGCTTTGAATACTTAACCTGCAAGGCTGCAAGGCTGCAAGGCTGCAAGGCGCTGTTTTGTTGTTTGGTCCATGACCATGATCAAAATTCATCCCAAACTAGCTTTGCCAAATATGCTTTCTATCTGTCCTAGAAAGGATTTGTTTTTAGTTCAATTGTGGTGGCCTACTAGTGCTATACTACAGTCTAATTAAATTGCAGAAATTCGAGATCCCAGTTAATTACTTCATACCAACCAAATTATCAATTTACGTCAATTGAATGACGTTTAATTTAGGTTAAAGAGGACAACAAAACAATAATGTTGATCGAACCAATCTAATCTAGATCGAGTTTTCAGATTGATACAGGTTTAGTGCTTGGTATTCAATGGTAGTAATAAGAGAGAGATGAGAAACCAAAGTGCTAAATCTAGAGCTTTGATTGGTTCCCAATTCTTGCAACAACAAAAAAAAAAAACCTATAAATCCTATTGGAACCAAGTTGGACATCATTTCTAAACAAAGGCCAAACAAGTAGGGGGACAATAAATATCGTTGTCCAATATCCATCTACCCACAAGAGTCACTTTACTTAGCCCTCTTTCTTTTTGTATCTTCGTGACCAAGGATGACTTAATAATTGAAAGATTGAACACATGTACTCCACACTTCAAACAACATTTGATAGATTATCCAACACCGAGCAATATGGGGGAGGGCCTATTTCCTAGCTTCATGCTAATCTACATGTCAGACCACTGATTCATTCTTTATCATTAAAAAGATAGGTCGACAATGAATTTTCACAAACTCGCACACAATTATATGATATTCTCTTCAATTTAGCCACTAAGTTGCCAAAAATATATGTTTTGAAATTATATGTCTCGTGTGGTTCTTTATATACCAATTGATGACTCCTTACAAAGTTAACGTGAAATTTCACTCACAACTCTAATTTGAAGCCAAATTTCTATAATTAAATTGATTAAAGATGAGTTTTTAAAATTAAAAGTGGATTATTATCATTGCATATTCCTTTAAATGATTAAGTCGGATTAGAAACTTAATTATCAGTTGTTTGCAGATAGTGAAATGGATTGGAAGGATCGATCAATGGGATCTCACTTTCTCCAAGCAAGAAAATGGGTACATAGTTTTGTTTGAAATAAAATTGACAAGTTGGACC